AATGAACGAATAAAGCCGAATATGAATTCGATGCGAAACTACATGAACAACAAGAAGAACCGGTTCGCAAGTGATTTATCTGTTCATCAGATCGACTGATATAGCCGAATTTCACACAGCTAACCTCTAAATACTATGAGGAAATCGAGCGGATCTAAACATAGTAAGCGACCACAATCAATATACGAAAGTGATAAATTACAGACTGAACGGTATGATGGATTCTACCAAGATAAATGCCAAAAGCTTCATTTATATGAAAATATAAAAGGTTCAATAGGACACCACATGGCTTGCATTCGAATGCAAAGACTTCTTTTACGACATGCAATAGCCGAAGGAATGAAGCTCACAGTCACAAGAACGTCTGGTTCCGGTGTATGAATCACAAAACATAAACTCTGGAACTAGGAGAAACGGAACACCGAATTCCCCATCGGTATAGGACAGACGTGATATTGAGGTTGCCGAAACAACGTTTATCCAGAAGAGATATCGAAACCTTGGAGCGGTATGAGGGAGCTTAACTAGATCTATGTTGATGTGTTCTATTTTAACCCCGTTACACAACGATAAAATCCAGACTGAAGACGCAACTATACGGCATGGTACTAAATACTCTTTGATTGAGCATTGATTAAGCAAGTGGAATATGCATGATTTATTGGTTTCACCAGCGACCAATCAAGAACTTCGTGGTCACCAGTGCCTATCTGATTAATTATTCGGTTCTTTTACGAGCACTCAGCCTCTCCAACCCCAAAAATGGGTGAAGACGGTGTAGAGGCCTCCCTCCGCAAAAGATAAAATCAAAACAAAAGGGGCTTCACGTTACAGAGGAAACTATGAGTTTTGCTCTACAGGTAGAATGAGGGAAGAATAGTAGAAAATATCCCACCAACCAAACCAAAACAAGTATCATTGTATCGGGTACACAAGGGAACATACCTCAGATAGGAACAAATCGACAATGTGGAAAACCACGGGCAATGGGAACTTGGCCGTGAATAGAGTAAGAAACCACTGACTGGCGTACATGTGCGTCTCCAGTCCGAGTTCTTCAAAATGCTTGGCGACATCGGGAAGTTGATCCTGCAGAGAAATGAAATAACAGCATAAATTAAGGATTTAGAGGGTTATAAAATACAACGGGAAGAATAAAAAAGGTATGAGATACCTATCAAGTAAGGTTGCTTGGCCGGACGATGCTACTGATCTCACGAAAAATATTCAAAACCACATTTCTCTGCACAGATTCATATGCGAACGGCGGTTGTAATATTCATTATGGCAGTTGCCTTTAACGATCCCGATGTCGGATGACATGTAATCCCTTTGGAATAACTGGACGAATTGATTCATCAATGTGAGCTTAAGGATATCAATAGACCTCATCCTCACATGCGTACAATTCACCAAGAAAAGCAAACAAAATACAAAAGAAGATACAGTGTGCAATCAGTGCGGGTGGTACATACTGTGAGAGATGTTTTTCATCTATGACAGTGTTCAGTATCGAAGGTCGCTATGTCCTATGAAACAGAAGAAGAGTGTGAGCGCAGGACAGCTACCGATTTTTTTTAGATGGCAGAGGTGAGCACAACTGTTATGAAGAGGGCCTACAGCGTGCTACTGCTATTGTGCATGGTTCTAGCTTCAAAGTACGGCTGCGTTTTGTCTGTGCGGTTTTCAGGCAGATTCACGATTTTCATTTTCACATTTCTTCTTTTGTGTATATGAAAGATTTCAAAAAGTGATGGTGATAATCTGGTTATTGTCCCAATCGCTTCGAATAGTCACCATAACAAATGGAAATATGGAGAAGCGAACCGTGTTATTCGATGGAGGGAATGTGGTACTCTGAAGCCACATCAATTGTACCGAGGGAAAAGGGGAACACGATTGTTTATTTCATGTACTAAACGAAAAATATGACACGAGGTGCGAGCATCACAGTACGTCACCACCTAACCTTTTATGAAAGCTAGTCAGATTCAGGAGGAATATGACGGTTGTTGGTGACTTAATGAGCAATATCTCGGTCGGAACCAGATTGATGTGACAAAATATCGAGAACTAACACTAAGCTCGGTGTCCGAATAATCACTAGGAACCGTTTTATGTAATCTACTATAAACTGTACACTAAATCTTTCACAGCCATATACTGTGAAAAGAAAACTAAGCAACGTGAAGATTGCATTGCGATAATCAGGCTCTAAAATTCTTTAGTATGAACCATTTCAACTTTGAAGCATTTGTTATTTGGTTGGATACAGTAACTACCGTGTCTTTTTACTTCCTTTTTTTATTTATTGAATATATCAATGTGGAGTCAACATTCAGGAGTGGGGGCCGCAGCCATACAAATACTGTCTGAGAAAATATAGATAATGGGGAAGACGGGTGGCGGTGGAGCGGTTCGAACCCGGGACACCCAGGTCACTAGTTGGTGACCTAACCAATTGGCCACCACCGCCTAGTTCGTTCTTAACCTTCCACGGTTCGGCTTAGATATTTGGCACAAACAAAGGGTCCTTGAGAAACTGTAGTGACAACTGCGAACAGCCGCTTTATTTTCACAACGACGGATTAACCAAATACCTGAATTATCCGTTTGAGTTGATGGAGTCGCATGTGCAAACCGTCAAAATCGTTCAGGAAGAGCTCCCGCAGACCGTAGTGATTGTTCACCTGAACTAGCAGTGTGAAGGCTTGTTCGACAGGCATCTGTGAGGAAGCAGACACATTGTGAACTTTTAGGAGTTAGGGTTGCACAGTGCATTGCACATCAAAATAACGAACGAATGTGAAATTTATCGAATGAAGAATTACCAATCGTAAATACTGTTGGTATCAATTGGAACTAATATTTGGCTGAACACAAACGGGATAAGCGACTGAACCGAATAAATGACAAAACCTTAGACTGAGAATGACATCGAACAATGAGGCGACGCCTACGAGCATGCAGTCGATGTTTCTAGGATATGAGCAGTTCAAATCTTATTTCAGCGACAAAGCAGAATTCAATACAACTGTGGAACTTGAAGCCATCAACAAGTTGAACAACATGCAACACTGTTGGAACCGTCTGGACAAAAACAATTTCTCATTGGTTTAGTAACACACATGATGAATTCAACCATAAACAAACGAAATAATGGACTACGATAATGTTAAGAGAAATTTAACTTCCCCTGAGAATCCCAATGGCATAAAGTTGAACTGGATTGGCACAAATCGGCACCATGGAGAAGTGCCAGTGCTTCCTCAATGCTGCCAGATGGAATTCAGGGTAACGGACAGAATAGGACAATTTGACTTATCCATTGCCTTCATCGACACTCGAAACTTTCAGTCGGGAAAAATCTAGGTTATGCGCAACCTCATGAGTACAGGACGGTTCTTCCTTAGCCAATGCACTTTAACGACAGCCATCAATCAACTCTAGCACTTTTTCAATTGTCTTTTGAATGGAACTGTTGGGGAAACGTCTTGTTAGCAAGATTGAGCTATAGTCTGGCACACACAGCAGACGTTCAATTCAGTTTGGATTTTTTACAACCATTAACTATGCACTTTCTTGGGGCGGTTTTGGATGCCGTCTTGAAGTCGCCCATTTGGATAAAAGAGTAGGATGACGACTGGAATGGTAAAAGCAAACTTAAACAGAAGATGGATATTTCACATAGACT